TGATACCAACTGTAACACCCCCAACATTTTCCACGCATAAGTTGATCAGGCTTATACACGAAAAACGAGGGATATCAAAAACAATTGGCAATATACAAGCATGGAATACAAAATGATGATAATAAAAGAATTTAGACAGGAAATGAACCCTAAATAATACAACATCCATCCATCCTTTATTTAATACCGTACTTCATTACAACATGGAAATCCTATGTCAAGGATCCCTAAATATAACCCTGAGAGTTCAACGTCAAAAGTAAATAAAACCTGAAACTGAAGTATTACATAAAACTTCTACCCTGCACTGGATCGTAAGAGTAGATGAGTTCGGATGATGGTCCCACACTGCTAACCTCAGCCTTGAAACGGATACTGACCGTATCCTGAAATAACAACAATGGTGGGTCAACCCCACGAGCAAGTCCTCTCTACTATGACCCAAATCAGAGAATCAAATAAATTAATCATTATGAATCGGATGAGTACTATATCTGTATACATCCTACGGGAACTATCCGATGTATAACATGACCTCAACCATAATAGACGGTGATCACTTAGACTCACACTAGGTGGTCAAGTGTCGCCTTTCCCTACCCGGGAAATCAGCTATTATACATGGTGCACGGTACTGACAACACAGACTATAACGAACTACACATTGATAACACCTCGCAAAGTACTGATGAATTAGGCAACACATGCCAACAATATTAATAAATATACCGAGAATGTCAATTAGGCAACACATGCCAATAATATTAAACCACATACCCCGACAGCCACACATCTGTCTATCGCAACGAATGCATAAGGTATAAATGAGTCTAAACTTATTAGCCAGCTCACATGGTTCTATATGGCAACACATCCATATAATATAAATGCGACATAATAAACAGTCCATTTATTCCCTGAAATGCACACAGCATAATAATCATGGTTTATATATCAATTAACAGTATAAACATCCTATAAGATATCATGGATAATTTATCTGACTAAAACCATGGCCTTATTTAATTTAACAGTAATGTTTGATACCATTTAATACGATAATAACACTATTTATATTTAACAATGTCGTTAAATAAATCACATTAGTATCCGTACTGTGAACGAGCCAATAAATGCTTAGAAAAGATTAATCGGTCATAAGAATAAGTAACGGGTGTTAAAATAATAATTTCGTGGCCCGTTAAACCCGTAAATACCAACACAGTACCTAAAAATCCAAGTTTAAGGTTCTGGAATTTACAAAACAGGCCCTAGGGGTATTCTGGTAATTTCCAGCAGCTGTAGGGACCCCACACGCGCCTCCCAGAGCCTCCCCACGCGCAGCCCAACCTTCCCCACTCTCCCACGCGCCTCCACGCGCGTCTGGCATCAGCCACGCGCCCGCACGCGCTCCCACGCGCGTCTGGAGCGTTCCACGCGCGCGCACGCGCTGCCACGCGCGCACTAAGGGTACCTTGCTGACGCGGCGTGTGCTGGTTGGTCGGTTGCATCATCCTACTATGGGTGCGCTACACTGAATCAGCTCACCCTCTCATCACTCAATCCTGTGCTTATGGATCCGGGTGTACCGCGGTAACATGGACCGCGATGCACCGGATCAATCAGACTCTACTAATGGCCAGGATGCGCGCGCGCACTAACCTACCATGCGCCGCATCACACCGGATCACTCCGGTCACCTTCTTCACTGCCGGTGGCCGGAATCCTTGCCGGAGGCTCGCCGGAAATTGCAGAAAAGCCCCGGAAAATTCCTAAAAATTCTAAAAAAAATCCCAAAGGCCATAATAATTATTTTTAGCTATATTTTGATTACATAGGCCATAAAATAATTGTTGACCACCTTTAATAATTAAAATTCCTTTCTTTAATAAATAAAAAAAAAATTAATTTAATAATTTCCTAGCATGATATCTAAGCTCTATAATTATTTAAATAATCTAAACAATTAATTTATGGATTCAAAGGGAAAAAATAGATAATAACTTGCCTTTTTGGATTTAAAATAAATCCGCCGGTCTGCGCGTAGTCGGGTAAATTCCCTACACCGGTCCAAGCTCCTTTCTTTCTCTCTCTTCCTTTCCACACTTTTACAATGGCTCACTAGAATTTTGCTCTTCTACTTACGTGAGTTTCTTTCAAATTGTAACTAACTAACTAATATATACTAATTTATATAATATATATAATACAAATATCTAACTTAAACATTAACTTTCAACATTCCCACCTATATGGCTTTAAGACAATGCCATCTTAATCAAGATATTTGATCTACCATTCTACCATAGTAAATGAAATTCTATCCTAATATTTAATTTTCCATCATTACATTGATTTAATAATCATTTTATTATAACTATTATTATTATTAATAAACTTTTATAATAATTATTATTATTATTATTAAACTAATATAATAATTATTATTACAAAATAATACATTATATCATCATAATACTATATAACACAAATATAATACTTTACTTAACTAATAATGATTAATATAAGCATAACCAACAAATAAAATTATTAATAATAATACATGCATAATTACATGAACAAATTTACTATTTTAACATACACAATTAATTTACATGCACAATTAAATGAACTTAATATAATAATGTAGTATGCACAAATAAATAAAATTAATTAACCTAACACAAAATTAATTTAAATACATTCTTTAAAATTAAAATTACGGGGTATTACATGGTTGTCCTAATTTGGGGGTGCTTGTGGACGGTGATGGTGGTGAAGTTTGTCTTTTATTTTAAATTTTTTTTTTTCGCTGAGGGTCATCTGGTCAATTAAAAAAGTTTATAAAATGTTAGGGTAAAGTACAAAAAGCCCGTTGGAACTATTGTTCTTTTGCAAATAACCATTATGAACTAAAAAATATCCTTATAAACTATTGATTTGTTACAATTAAGGACAAATCCATCGCAAAAGATAATTTTACCCTTTCTTATTATTATTTTTATTAAATTATTTTTATTATCATTTATATTAATATCAATTTATCATAAAAATGAAAAAAGTAAATAAATAGATTTATAAATACCATTTTAAAAAATGATTAACTTATTGTTAAAATTTTATTATTTATAATAAAACTTATTATACACAATTTAAACTTTTTAATCATAGAAAATACATTTTTTTCATATAATATATTGATGAAAAATTAATAAATTACTTAAATAAAAGATACCTTATTTTTTATGTAATATATTAACGAAAAAAATAAGAAATTTATTAAATTGTTGTGAAATTTTCTACTTTAAATTTTTATTTAAACAATTAGTTTAAAAAATTAAAGGTAAATTTGTGCAAATTTAATATAGAATATGTTATCAAATTAATATGAATTATTTTCATAATTTATTTCAATAAGAAAGGGCATTGTGGCCATTTAATAAAATATACTCTAGGCATTGAGGCATTTGTTGATGTGACCTTTCAGAACGTATTATACACAAAATATAGTTCATGGGGTTATTTGCAAATTCAAAGAGATTTTTATTTTTTATTTTTTATTTTTTTACTTAACCTAAATATTAATATTATAATTTAATAATTACGTACTCTTATCATGGTTAGGGTGATGGTGTTCAAGTTTACAAACCTTTAGAGGATTGGATCACACTCTCCCTAAATTGTAATTCTAAGGGTTAGTTTGGTGCAACGGAAAAGACAGGAAAGGAAAGGGAAGGTGATAGAGAGTGATTAAAAAATTGTGTTTGGCATAAATGATTGGAAGTAAATGGATGATTTTGGAAGGATAACACAAGGCATAAACAGTAACTTTCTTATCCTCAAAAAAATGGGAGGAAATAGAAGGAAAGGGAAGGAGAGGCTTGATGTATTTCTGATGTGAAATTTATCTTTACACAAAATCAAGATTACACTTGATTTTAGGGTTTAGTTTACAAAACAAGAATTACAGAGTTTGATTAGTTGATTTAGAAAAAAAATTAAAACAAAACCCATACATAAAAGTTAGTAGTTGCAGAGAAAGAAAGGGGGTCAAGCGTGAGAGTTGAGAGACAACGACTAAAGCTTGCGGTCGACGAACCCGAATTGAAACAGCAGGCGATGGAAACTAAAATATATGGGTTTTTATTTTTTGAACAATCTGAAAAGATATGCTGATATGGGGGGTTTTGATATTAGTAATTATTGGAAATAGATAGATTAACTGAAATATATGGGCTTTGAACTTAAGTTTCTTGTAGATTTTGTTGCAATTGGGGAGAGAGAGGGGGGAGGGGGAAGTTCATAGTTAAGAACGAGAATAGAGATGGAGTCGATTGGGGAGGCTAAAATGATTTGCCCTAAAAATATTATTTTTTTATTACATGTTAAATTTATAAATTTATCTTTTAAAATATAAAAAGGTATAATAGTAAATTTATTAAAATAATTTTATTTTTATCTTTTTCAAAACATAATAATTATTATTTTTATTTATTTTTATTCATTAATTAACTAAACACGATAAATGATTAAAATTATTCTTCTCTTTTCTTTTCTTTATATTTTCTTTCCCACCTTACCAAACATAACCGATATGGTGTGAGTGAAATTAGAAAATTGTGATGCCTAAAATGCCCTTCCCTAACAAAAAAGTAGTACCTTCAGTTCAAAAAAGTAGTACCTTCGGAGAAAAAGTAGTACCTTCGCGGGTGTTTAAAAAACATGGTACCTGGACGTCAAAAAGTAGTACCTTCAGTTTAAAAAATTAGTACCTTCGAAGAAAAAGTAGTACCTTCGCGGAAGGGTATTTTAGGCACCACAATTTTTAAACAGTAAAAAATCATGTGCCACCTCAGCAATCCATTTTAGAGAAATATGGAATTTTGACTCAGCCTCTAAGTAAATATAGAACTTTGACTCCATTTATATGTAATTTTCCTTTTTTTTTTTATATGTTTTGGTCAGTGTCCTTGAAACAGCGTAGTATAGAAAAGTGGACAAGTGGTACTCCCTTTTCCACACCTGTCCGGTCAAAACCCTAGAAGTAAAATCTACAACAGCTCGTACTATACCCCCAAATATCTCTGTGTTCCTTCTTCTATCATCGACTCTCAGAGTTTTGACGTCTTCAACAATAGAAGGTGCAGCTGAGCCCGTCTTTACCTTTATTCTTCTTTTACTCGCACATTGATTGATTTATTCTCTGAGTGTCATTTTTATATTAAGTGTATAGATAAATCTGTGTCACATATAATTTTTTTGGATTTAGAGATTAGCATCAGTTGGGTTTCTCCCGATTTACGTTTATCTGCCGATGATATAGTTTTTTTGTTTTGTTTTGTTTTGCTGCGTAACACTGTTAGATTTTGTATTATAAAACCTGTTTGATTTGTTAGGGAAAAGAAAAGTTTCCTTGGAAAAATTATTTATTCGAGTATTCTTTAGCTATTTTACCAGAAAGGTATTTGGATCTGTTGCCATTACTTGATTGGATTTGTCATTTATTTTTTAAACCACTTAAGCTTTGAAATATTCCGAGTTCTTACTATGGTATTTATAGACATGATCAGTACATTTATATACTTTGGAGCAGTACAACATGTTTTGTGCAAGAAGATTGTTCCTTTTATTTTATTTATTTATTTATTCTTCTCCCTATATTTTTATGGTAAGGTTGTCGAGTGAGCTATGTCATGACTACTACCACGAGTTCTCCTTGTTGACGGTTGGATTGCGAGATTTATTAAACTTTTTACAGATCCAAAAATTGCCTCAATCCCGTGGTTAATAAAGAGAGACCATGGTTCTTGTCATGAGAGGCTCTCTGATTACTCTCCTACATGCTCTGTTGATAAGTTTGATTGTGAAAAGAGCTCGTGCTTGTGGTTTTATTACCATGGGTAGGAGCAATGCGATCCTGAAATTAGGGAAATAAGAATCATGCATTGAATCTTGTAATCTCCAACAGTCTTCCTTTTTGTCATTGAACAAGTCAGGAATGTTGGAGTAAAATTTTCCCATGGAGCAATAGGTTGACGTACCAGAAACATTTATTGGTAAATAAGCTGTTGCATCATAGGCTTGTTTACTTAACTTATTCTCTGCTGATTTTTTCCTCTTTTTTTTTTTTTTTTTTGGTGCTACAAATTGAAACGTTGCTTTATATACTTAATGTACTGTTGTTTCTTTTATGAAATTGGACGCGAAAGATTAATAAAATCTGAGTTGCATTGATGTTTGGAGTATATCCTTGTCTACAAGGATGGCAACAAGGTGGGTTTGGGATGGGTTACCCTAAGCACTACCCCGTACTGTTAATGAATACTCTATCCCATTCCTCTCTGAAACCCTTGTATCAAATCTCAACCACATTTATTTTTATCAACAGATCTAGCAGCCCCCTCCTTGCCCTGTTTCAACCATCTCCTTGTCAATCCCACTTTAACAACCCCAAACACATCACTGAACACCAATATGCTAGCAAGATAAGATATGCAAACATATGTCTACTTATAAAAAAGAAGAAGAAGATAAGATACACATACATATGTGTGTGTGTGTGCGTGTGTGTACACTACATACTAAATGGAGGAGGTACAAGTACTAGATGATGCCGAGATAGATCATGGCGTCAACTCCTTGGGTGGCATCTATAGTCCGCGATGTTGCTAGTAGCACATTCAGAGAAAGTGATTTGCTCTATCTGACAGGATCATCTTGGACAACAACAATCTATTGATGGAAAAAATCAGAAGAAGAAGAGGCACTTTGGCGATTGGGAAAGGAATTATGACTGTATAAGGGTCTGATAAAGGGGTTTGGTGACCGCTGGAAGGATGGGGTAGCTTAGTAGGCATGAGGCAGCTGCCTGTCGGGGGGATGAGATTAGGGTAATTGGAGATATTTTAATATATAGTAATGTCAGACTTTAGAGAGTTGGGGGTTTACACATGCTGCTGTCTTTTTTTAGGAGTTTCTTGTAAGGAATTTTTTAGGCAGTGATGGCCTTCTGGCACTTCCGTACATTTGTTTGCGTTAGGTTAATGATAAGTGTTGATTTGATATTGCAACACATGGATGAGGGAAGTTTGCTCTGACTTTAATGTTATTGACAAGGAAAAACTGCTATTTCTATTTAGGAGGTTAGTTGGATGAACTTGTTAGGAGTTCTGTGTATGTATTGGGTAAATATATAATGTTGAATCAGTATTGCAGAGCATGGAATAAGGAAGTTTGCTCTGACCTTCATGTCCTTGACAACAAAAAACTGCACCCTGTTTTCCTTTTACATATTTATGTGTGGTCTTTTTTGCTCCCCCTAAAGGTAGATATTTTGTGATAATATTTGTAAAGAAATGATGATTATTTAGGACCCTCCTTGATTCTTGAGTAGATTCGTCATAGATGGCCTTTATTGTAAGAAACATGTATAATTTTGTCTGCTTAATATCTGCACTATTTTTGGCTATCTCCCTCATCTGGTTGCTGCTTCTCATATTATGCTCTTTGATGGTGAATATTATGTATTTAAAAACAGATATAGAGTATTTTTTCCAATGGCTGGTCAGAGGAACAATTATGGAAAGCGTTCACATTCGCAGTCTGATTATACCAACAATGGAGGAAATAAAAGGAGAAATCGTGGTGATGATAGAGATCCTTTCTCTATTGGGTTAGAAGATACTGTATACCGATATTTGTGCCCTGGAAAGAAGATTGGAAGTATTATAGGGAGGGGAGGGGAGATCGTCAAGCAATTAAGGACAGACACTAAATCGAAAATTAGGATTGGTGAGACGGTTCCAGGTTGCGAGGAGCGAGTTATCACTATCTACAGCCCTAACGAGGAGACAAATGATTTTGATGCCACTGACAATCACGTTTGTCCAGCCCAGGATGCTCTATTCAAAGTGCATGACAGAGTTGTTGCTGATGACTTGGCTGCTGATGAGGACCCTGATGAAACCCCAGAAATTACTGTTCGGCTTCTTGTATCGTCGGATCAGATTGGATGTGTTATTGGGAAAGGTGGACAGATAGTTCAGAATATACGTAGTGAAACTGGTGCCCAGGTTCGCATTCTGAAGGATCATCATTTGCCTCCTTGTGCATTGAGTTCTGATGAACTCGTGCAGGTAATTCACTACCAATTTCATTGTATTGCTGTTATGGCACATTATCATATTTCATTGTGTTGACTGTGGTCTAATGGTATATTTTTTTTGAAATCCATGTTTGGTCACTTCAAGAAATTTTAGCCCAAATAAAATGCCGTGTCTCTTCAATACACATTCTTATATTTATATTTATATTTCCAAGTTAATTTCTTGTGTTATTCCATCCAATTGATCACTTTCTTTGCATTATTAACTTTTTACATTTGACTTGGAATAATTACACCTAATATGTTTTATGTGGATTACCTGGACTATAAATATTTGGTTTAAGGATGCTTGTCATTCAATTTGAGGGATGTTAAGCTTTTCATCTGGCCTCATTATTCGTGATACTTGGAGTTGAATGAATCTCACATTTATACTTAGTTTTTTTTATTTACTTTTTTCAGGTATCTGGTGAGGCCCCAGTAGTGAGGAAGGCACTTTATCAAATTGCATCTCGCCTTCATGACAATCCATCTCGATCTCAGAACACGCTTGCTTCTGCCGTGCCCAATGCTTATGCTTCCAGTGGTGCACTTATGGGTCCAACAGCGGGTGCCCCAATCATGAGATTAGCTCCACTTGTGAGTCCTTATGGAGGATACAAAGGTGAAAGTGGGGACTGGCAACACTCCTTTTACTCAGCTTCGAGGGTTGAATCATCCTCAAAGGAATTTTCTCTCCGTTTGGTTTGTCCTACTGCTAATATTGGAGGTGTGATTGGCAAGGGTGGTGGCATAATCAATCAAATCAGACAGGAGTCGGGCGCAGCTATTAAGGTTGACAGTTCAGCTGCGGAGGGAGATGATTGCATAATATCTATTTCAGCAAAGGAGGTAAGCATGTATTTTTTTCCTGGTGAGCGTGTAACATCAGGGTCTTATATTACAATTTTAATTATATCCCATCTTATGTTATTTCAGATCTTTGAGGACACTTTCTCCTCAACTATTGAAGCAGCATTGCGTTTGCAACCCAGGTGTAGTGAGAAAGTTGAAAGAGATTCAGGTCTTATTACATATACAACCCGCCTACTCGTGCCAACCTCTAGAATTGGCTGCCTTATTGGGAAAGGAGGTGCTATAATTACTGAGATGAGGAGAATCACCAAAGCTAACATTCGTGTACTTTCGAAGGAAAGCCTTCCCAAAGTTGCAGCTGAAGATGATGAGATGGTGCTGGTAAGGGTTTCTGAACTTGCATTGTTATGCTGGTCTCAAATGTATCATATTCATATCACATGGAAGCTATCTAATTTTAATATACACAATGCTTATTACTTATTTATTGCATCTTTTAGATCGCTGGAGACCCTGATGTTGCTAAAGATGCTCTTATGCAAGTAACTTCACGTTTAAGAGCAAATCTTTTTGATAGGGAGGGGGCTGTATCTGCATTTGTGCCAGTTCTTCCATACCTTCCTGTGTCAACTGATGGTTCGGATGATTTAAAATATGAAAGTAGAGATGGTAAAAGACATGGACGTGGACATTCTTACTCTGATGGATATGGTGACTCTGATTTGCCAGCTGGTGATGGTTATGGAAGTTACGGTGGTTTGCAGGTAATTTTGTTTTTTTTCATATATTTTTGTCTTTCAAATAGAATATTAAAGAAATAACTTGTTTTTGTTTATTTCTCACATATATCAAGGGATTTCTCATTTTATATCCCTTTATACATCGTTGTTATGAGAGTCTTGTTTGTGGTCAGTTATATATATATTTTTGATAACTTTAGTCAGTTATATTCATGAGAAATTGCTTTCTTTACATCTTCTACTACCTCATTAGTATTATGTTTTTCATGTCATCTGCAGAGTGGCAGCACTGGCGGTGGTTATGGAGCGTATGGTGGCTATTCTTCTGGACGTAGTGGTGGTTCTGGGTAAGAAGTTCTTTTGGCAGTTCCCGAATTTGTTTTGGCACCCTGTTCCTGAAGGGGAAAAAGGCTGCATAAGGTTGACAATCAGTCAAGAGGTAAAATTTATAAGGGTAAACTACAATGACCTCCCCGCAAATAAACCCGGGGTTTGCATATTTTTTGCACCGTGTCCCTACGAGGTTTACCTGATTTTGCAAACACCTCCCCTCCATACAAAAAGTAATACTTTTTGTTAGAAAAAATGGTTGAAGTGACCAAAATGCCCATCAACCAAGTAAAAAGACGTTATTACCCTTATAGTATTATCAAATGACAAGTTTTAATGGACGAAAATGCCCCTCCCTCCCTCCCCCCCTCCCGCTCACATTAAAATTTTATTTACCAAATACATTCAATTAATTTTATAAATCACTTATGAATTTATTTTTTAAGATTTTACAAAACTTAATTATCTTGAAAGTCAATATTTAATTAAAATTTTAAATTCACATGTTAAATATTTATGGGTTAAATGCATTAAACTCCCCTCAACTATGGGCTGATTGCAATAAACCCCCTAAATTAAAAATAACCCCCTAAACTATTAATTTGTTGCATTCCAGTACTCAACGTAAACAATTGTTAACAGAAAAAGCAAATTACTATTTAGCCCTTGTTTGGCAATAAAATCTACACAACCAGTAGAGAAGTGATGCCAAGCCTAAATATATATATATATATATATATATATATATATATATATATATATATATATATATATATATTTGGGTCAAACCAATATAAGCAAGGCTTATTCAACTTTTTCCTTCTCCCAGCTTTTCTCTCTATACAGTGCTTACTTTGTCCATCCCTTCAGATAGGTAGAAAGAAATTCGATAACAAAATTGTTTGTTTAATTGGGACAAAACAGGGACATGATTGATGAATCAAACACGGACAAAAAGAAAAGTTTCATGAAACCCAACAGCAATACCAAACCACTCAAAAATGAAGAGCCGGTGATTTTCTTCACTACCATTCTCTTTTCACTCCTCTTCATTCTCACCGGAAAATCAGACCTCGTTGCTAACAAAACGGTGATTCTTGCTCTCCATGTCGCCGTCGATGGTCGACCCCTCCCCAGCAACGCTACTGGCTGGTGTGAGCTGCCAGTCCGGCATCATCACCGAGCTCATTCTCCGTAGCATGGGATTCTCCGGCCAAATCTCGCCACACCCCCTCGAAAATCCTTTTGTGAAATCAAAATTTTGAAACTCGAATCTTAGTTTCTAGGCCTTGAATCACTTTAAACCATTGATCTTTGGGTGATCACCTATTCGTTTTCATGGTCGGTGCCGTGACGCCAGTGAATTTTTCTGGATATGGGTTGGCGTTTTTCGGTGTTGCCATTATAATCATTAGAAGTTGCAGGCTTTGATGAGAAAGGATGGAAGAAGCCGGCTCAACAGGATGAAGTCATAAGGGTATATTTGAGATTACAAATTTTTCTCTGTGCACATGGGTCACGTGTCCCTACCTGGCGTTAAATATTGGATGACCATCTAACGGAATTTCATTTTTTGCAACAAACATAATAGTTTAGGGGGTTAAGTGTCTTTCCTAAAGTTTAGAGGTGTTTTTGTGAGAGAGAAAAAGTTCAGGGGTTTAGTGCACTTAACCCAATATTTATAGATATGTAATTTATATTTAATTTTTATATTAATTACATTTTAATCAAATATTCTAATCAAATCTATAGTTTAAAATAATATTTATTTACAACTTAAAAATAAATAGATAATTTAATAATTATTATTTAGATTAATTAATTTAAATTTAGGATTCTTAAAGAAAGAGAAATTAGAACTCTTAATTTGCATTGACTATTTTTATTTTAAACTGTCTTACACAATTTTACTTAGAAAAAAAGCAAAGAAAAGAAAAGAAAGCACAATTAAAAACCCAAACGCACCACCACTCCACTCCCTTCACCACCACCGCCAATCCCCACCCTCCTCCACCACTCTTGTTTCTCTTTACTCTCAAACCCAACCACTGTTCCATTTTCGCCACAACCAGACCCACCAATTTATACCACCATAGCCACTGCCACTACCATTAAATTCCACACTTGCATAGTCCCATCACCATTTTCTTTCAGTATATATATATTCATACATATACATATATCATACATATATGTGTATATATACACACTCGAGCCATGCTTAGGTTAGCTGGTAAGCCCGAGTCATAACAACATAACCATAGATCGGTAAGCGCCGAACGGAGAGATATTTTCGGAATCCTGCAATTCAATCAACTAAATATCCAACTAGTCTAATTAATTGTCTGCTCTCATCTCGGCTTCTTCCCCGAACCTTCCTCTATACCCGGCCTGAGCCGACGATGTGGATGAAGAAGGATTCAAAGTCAAAAATTTTGGGGGAGTACTTTTTGAGACCAGATTTGGTGGTGGTGGTTTGGGGGGTGAAGATGGTGGTGGTTGTGGGGATGTGGCGGTGTTTGTGGAGGTGGAATGGTGCGGAATCCATGGTGGTGGTGGTGGTTGACGAGGTGGGGATTGCGATGGTGGTGGCACGGCTGTTGTTGCACCCAGAGATTGAAAGAGAGATGGTGGAGATTGATGGAGGTGGGGATTGGTGGAGACTTAAGGACGCTTGGTAACAAATGTGGAGTTGTAAGTATAGGGGGTAAAATTGAAGTTTGATATATTTAGATATGTTGATTATTTTTATAATATAATAGTGAGGGTAGATAAGTAAATTCACAACAAAATCTGATAAAGGGAGTCTTTGCAAAAAAAAATGGCAAACCTTCGGTTTAGTTGCAATTAGGCCAAATCTCAGGGGAGGTCATTGTAGTTTACCCAATTTATAAACATGAAATTTCAAAACTTATTGAATTGGAAAACTTTGATCAAACACCAGTGAGTTTGATCATCCATTTTAATGTTGTGGAGGTTGTCAATTGGTTGAAAACCTCAACTGTCACGTCCTCGTTCTTTTCTATGCATGTGTGCAGAGGTTCTTATGTCAGACTTGGAAAGGATGGTATTTCTAATTTTCTTCATGCTAAAGTTTGTAATATTCAATTGCTTTAATCTGTCCCTGATCTTTAGCTTCTGTCACCAGGTTATCTGGGCAGAACAACATTCCCCGACGGAGGAATTACGATTACTAAAGTTTGGCCGTCACGAACTGCAGGTAGATTTTGGTTTCTGTTCACATATTTCTTTGTGTATTATTTAATTTGTTATTTCTTCTCATATATGCTAATATATGTATTAGTTTATGACAGTTTGGTACATAACCATGCCTATCTCCCTATATAAAATTCTGATGCTCTTGTTTTCCCCTTGTTTCCTTTCCCTTCCCATCGAAACAGCTGAGATCTTTGAAGCCTGAAGCCAGCCCAATGTCTCTTTTGATGAAGCCTCCTGCCTAAACCAGAAGACCAGATGAAACAGGGTTTGGAAAACTCATGGCCTACCTTGATGCTTTAATTTAGGAGGACCAATATCCGAAGATCTTACTATTGAAACTTCCCATGTCCTGACACCATATATCACCAAGCTCTGTCATGTGCTCCCAAGAACCATCATTTGCCTGCATGCCTTTGTCCATTGTTGTTTCCTTTAGCAGTTGTATTTAAGTGACGGGTTTGTTATGAATTAATGGTTCTCAGCTGTGTGTTTAGAAGTTTTATTGTTTTAATATTTATGGAGTAGAGTAGCTTGGAAACTTAATCAGTTAAAAACTAAATAACAGCAGAACTTGTGTTGTCTGACTTCCATGACTTGCATTCCTTATTTATAATGTGTATGATGCTTTTTATTACCTTTTTCATTTGGAATTGCCTTGTTTTAATGTTATATTCATACAAAATATCCCATGATTTTTACAGTTGCGTTGAACTTTGGTTATATGGTCTGATGAAATCAAATGCTATATGACAATTGTTTTCATTTTCCTCTATTTGATCAGAAGATTTTTCAAAATGTTATTTCTTAAAGTTAGATTCTGTTGAAATTATTAGCGCATGAGGAGCTCACAACTAAAGCAGGTACGAAGCCACATACTTCTTAGCATGAGGTGTACTGGCATATTTTATGTGGAGGTTAGTTTTTAGTTGCTGCTCATATCAAATTCCAACATCCACAAGACCATGATTTGCCAGAAGGTTTCTCCTGCACCATCTCTACGCATGGTTCTTGCTGTTGTTATTGGAGACTTGGGGGCTAACTGAGAGATTTGTTGGAATAGTTGAAACTTATTACCTCATCTGGTGGTAGGTACTACATTATACATCTATTATCGCGAAGCTATGAGGCTTTTTTATCGAGCAGGATTTAGACCTTTCTTTTTTTGGCCATTTTATTGGTAGGTTGAACGAATACTAGGCCTGGTGCATAAAACAGGCTACCTGGCAAAGGACATCTTAAGCAGGGAAGTCCAGATGACTGGGTGAGAATAAATCAAAGCTTTGTTCATTTATTTGCTTCTCTATATGCATTTCATTCATTTCCCCTCCTCCTGCTCCTCACTTTCTGTTGCTCCTCTACCCATGCCTTTTTTATATGTATGCATGAATGTGCGCGCTCGCGTGGGCGTGGGCGCCATCTTTTTTGTCCCTAATAGGAGTTTAACCCTCAACTTCCCACTTAAAAGGTCGAGGAGATAACTCTAGGCAATCGGCCTTGGTTGTCAATACATTTTTTGCACTATAGATGGGCTGCCATTTTTACAGGTGATCTCCAAAAGTTCTATAACAAATCAGTTACCGCATTTTTTTCTGAGAGTTTTTACATGGTTTACCTTTTTTTTTTTTGGTTTTGTTTTCCAAGAATAATCTCTCTCTCTCTCTCTCTCTCTCTCTCTCTCCATTTTGTGGGTATTTTCATTGTAAGGATGCTGTGCTTCGTCAGTAGAAAGTTTCATATCTAGCATCATGGTTATTTCCAAGTATGATGCTACTACTTGAAACTAGCATCATTTCTCCAAAAGCTCAGCAACAAATCAGTTACTGTAATTTTTCTCTCTTTTTGTTTCTACATGGTTATTTAAATTTTTTATTTAATTCTTGGTTTTGGTTTGTTTTGCTTTTCCAAGTATAATCTCTCCCATTCTCTCCATTTTGGGAATTTTTTATTTTTATTTTTTATAAATGTAAAGATGCTGTACTTTATCAGTTGAAACTAGCATCATATACCCTTGGGACTATTCTGCATGTAAGGCCGGTCTGGCTTAGTCAAGTGCATTTAAAGGTGGTCATGCAATCACAGAATAATTTGGAGGGAAGTAAAACAAAGTGACCTGGCAGTAGACTCGTTTAGCTGATTGAAAGTATGTGGTGGAACTGTGTTGACTTAGACTAGTGTGACGGTGAATCATGATGTGGCTCTGGCTCTCCATGATATATAAAGCATATGGCGTGGAATGGAAAATTTGTAATTAAAAAAGGGTGAAGCGATAAAAATAGAACAAGAAGGGGGAAGAATGATGAGATTGAACTTAAAAGATTGATGAAAATTCGAATATCTATCCCTTTCCTTACGTGAGGACAACTATGTAAACTCTTCACTATGCTAAAATGTGTGGATAATTGGTGCCAATACCGGGTTTTTGAGATTTTCGGGTTTGTGCAACCAAAACACTCGGGTGGAACCAAAATGGTAGCAAAATAAAATCAAAGCAAGCTAATCAAATCTTTGAAGCAACGTTTACCGACATATGTTATCAAAAGAAGCCCCAGAAGATACTAATTTTTTTAGTTTAGAAGTCGCTGATTCACTTGCTTTTAAGATGGAATTGGGGCCAAGTAATAAAGATTGGTCCCACTTAGTAATAAGAGGCTGAACTCCCAGTTTTATAAAAACAAAATGAAATAAGCAATATGGGCACCATCTAGGCTTGATAGATTTGGCAATGTTATTTATTTATTTTTTTAACCTGGCAATAAGAAAAATAGTCGCACGGTATCTATAAACACATTCATAAATGATTGTACAGAGGCAAAAAAGCTAAGCTAGAAAAAGGCAAACAAATTATGAAGCAAAATAAGAAAAATGAAGAACAGACTCTAAATTTGTTGAGAAAGAGTCATTACTAAACAACAGAAACCAGCAAGGGAAAAGAGAAGAGTAGCAACGGGAGTGACCTAAAGTTCAGGTCATTAATAAGGCAACATCTCCGGTGTCTACATCCACAAGTTGCCTCCGACAGGGGGGAAAATAACCCAAACCGAGCACAAGAAAAAATCAAGTCGGGAACAACAAAAATCGACATATATCAGAGATCTAGCTGGAGACAAAATAGCAGATTCACCCAGTTCAGTAGGAAACAAGCCAAACAGGAGCAGATCTAGCAAAACAAAAGTAAAAAGGGCGTGAAAACTATCCACAGAGCAAACTTATTGTGATACGCTGAGTTTATTTAGCCTGTGGGAGGCAACAAATGGCACCTCCCCACTCTCATGAAAGGGAGCAGGGAGAAAAACAGGTGGGGAAGACGAAGGTGAAGGCGGCTGAAAGGGTAGAGAGGAGAGAGAAAAAGTTGAGAGAGAGAGGGTTTAAGCCACTGTGTGATTTGGCAATGTCTGCAGGTTACGTTTGGCGGAGAAATGATGGAATTGGAGAAAAAGCAAGTCAGAAAATTGAACTATTTTTTTTTCTTTTCAATTTCACTAATTTCAATTCCAAACCTTCAATTTTCCGCCAAACATGAAGAAAAAGCAAGTCAGGAAATTGAAATAACTTCAATTTTTCGCCAAACATAGGGGAAGTCAATTTGAGCTATAACTGAGTAGTAGACTAATGTTGGAAAAAGCCTTAAACGTAGTGTTAAGATTTAGTTCAAGCTTGGGCTTAGAATTTTACCAAAGCTGAATTAAAAAAAGGTTCAGCTCATTGAATGATAAACTCAGCTCTCTGTTTGAAGTCTGGTTCATTTGAAAATGTATTGGAATGGATTCATTAATTTAATAAGCTGAACCCTTAACATATGCATGTGGGTACATCATAAATCCCCAATAAGTGACATTCTCAAATTTATAGTCCAATGAAGTAAATATTTTCACCTAACTCAACGCCCAAAAGTAAATCAGTACAAAAAGTTGTGGAGTGACACAAATTAAAATTAAAACTCATAATATGTAATGTGTTTGGTGATGCAGTGACTTAAATGACTTGATAAGGAGACACAGAAGCTGACACCCTTGCAGGCTCGCATTGAAAACCCTTGAACCCTTTGCTAAATGTGGTCACTTTACTCCATTGGATTGCTTCAATTGTACACATCCGAAGCGCTCTCTCTCTCTCTCTAGCTCTGACCACTAGCTACATAGCCTACATTAATACTTTGAATGCCTATTTCACGATAGTAAACAATTTCTTTATAAACAACTCAAGAGAGCTCTAAAGCCCTGTCAAATGGGCCTTGTAGTCCAATCGCCTTCTTCTTCTCTACCTGTATTCACAGACTCCCTCTTTGGGAAATGCATGTTTTTTGTTAGCATAAGGAGAGAATATATATATATATATATATATATATGTTTGTCTCTTCCATTCAAATAGGGAATGTTTTCTTTCTTCTTTTAGGCAGTGTCTAGGCTTTGTGGGATTGGTTGGTTTGGTTGTTGATTCTTCCTTAGGAAACTATGATAAATTTAATGGGTTGATGCATGAAAAAAAAGAAAAAGAATGGTTTTATTCATCTAAAGTCTTGCATGTGGGAAAGAGAGTATGTGGCGCAGCCAAGGATGACTTGCCGGCAATATTTACCCATATAGCCATGGCATCATCATAATGTATTACACTGTTCCACATGTATATATGCTTATATTTTGTACATATATCTTATTCAAAGTTGATCGGCAAGTCATTTTTGGCTACGTTTCTGCCTCATTCTCTCATGCTAGATTTATGATGATAACGATGAAGATGGTCATGATGCTTTTAATATAGAAAATGACAATGACAATGGTCAAATTTCTCTCTTAATTTGCGTATTTTGCAGGTAATTCCATTGAAGTTATTATGTGCTTTGGTCCGCTGAGTCTTGCTACTCCTACTCATCATCTCTGTTGCCTTCAAACTGCTAACTGCTTGCTTGCTAAAGTTTATCATATGACTCTTAGGTTATCTTTGTCATCTGATTATGTCTTTTCCCTTTTTAAACCAATTTAGAAGGTATTCTTTTAATTATGTTCTAGTGTGTATTATGTAATTTTTTTTTTATCCTGACAAATTAGGAGACAGGGATTCAAACACGGCACTCACGGAACAAGGACGACACCGGATGATGCCTTACGTAATATGTAACTTGGAAATGGGTATTATGTTCTGTTGTGTAAAGATGCCATGTATAATTAGAATTGTATTAGATTAATATTGAATGTACACCTTATGAATTTCAAAATAAGTTTTTGTATTTTTATAGATTTGGTTCATATCTCATCTGATTTTTGTTTCCTTTTCCTAGCTTGGTGGTAAAATCTGATTTTAGTTGCGCGATAGAAGTTTTAAACAAAACAATAACAAGCTTAGCTTTTATGGGTTTCAATATTCATTTTTACTTTTCACTTGGGCATTCGTTTGTAAAGAAAGATTATCACTCCAACAACTCAACAAAATATATACTTATCCTTTCTTACCAAAACAAGCATAATGAAATATATATATTATAAACTGATTAGTATTTGGATTTAACTGCCAAGTCCACAACAAAAGTCAAACCTTCGTAATTTTTGGTTCTCTTTGTTGAGATGTGCTAGACGAAAAAATTATTAGATAGACTTAGTTGATTTTTACTTGGCGGAGTAATTATATACAAACTCTCTGATTAAAAAAATGATCTTAAAAGAATGTATTAGGGTCTGTTTGGTTGGGCTTTTTATAACCTCAAAACGAGCTTCTAAGCTCATAAAGTCTTTTACCAATAACAAAAAACATTTGGTAAAATTTCTAAAAACAGACTTTTAAAAAGTCTTAGTGGTTTAGAAACCCGATTAACTAAAGCCAATAAAACATGCTTCCTAATCGACTTTTCCTAAGCTACACACTGTTTTAAGTAAGAAATATAAAATTTCTATATTGTCCATTATTTAACCTATTTCTGTTTATGTAAAGTTTTATCTTTCTCTTTTTGTATCATCTTCTTCATTTGTTCTCTACCCAAAAAAATAAAAATAAAAATAAAAATAAAAATAAATAAATAATGTTGAGCAAAATTTAACAGAACTTTATTGAAAAAATATTGTTAAAAAAACGATGAAGAACAAAGAGATTGTAGAGTTGCAAGAAAAATTATTATTGATTTTTATTTGACTTCAAAGTTTGAAGAGTTCCAAAATTTATGAAATCTCATCCAAAATTCAACCCTACATGGCTGCATTGAAATCTAAATAACTTTTATTTCTCTCAATATATATACACACACACACAAAATATATATATATATATAAATTCTTTTTTTTGAAAACTATCCATTTCGCTATTAAAGTGATTTATAGTTGTAAATAAGAATAAAAATGAGATATTTTTGCTGCTATCGCTCTCTTTTATTTTAGGATTAATTACAATGACACCCCTTAAGTTTATTATAATGACAATCATATACACGTTGGATTTTTTTTGAACAATGACACGCCTTGTTAGAAATTGAATCCAAACAAGTCCTTAAAAAGTGTGAAAAGTCAAGATTGCCTTTCAATATTTTATTAATTTAAATTAAAAAATAATCAAAACTCACAAATAACGCTTTTGCCCTTGGTTTGTCTATCAGTATACGTCACTACTCCCTCTAACCTCTCACCTTCTCCATCAGAAACCCTAAATCCTAACCCTAACAAACCCACCACCACAACAGAAAAAACAGAGCAATGATCTCTCAAATCCTAACCTTAACAAACCCACCGCCACCACAGAAAAAACAGAGCAACGAAGAACATGGCCTCTTAAATCTTGACCCTAACAAACCCACCACTACCACAACAGAAAAAAACAGAGCAACAAATAACCAAAATCTCTCAAACCCTAACAAACCCAACCCACGCTCCCTTCCGTCGTCGTTGAACCCTCGGATCCTGCCGCCGCCGCCACCAAAAAATTCGTCGTCGTTGAACCCTCGGATCCCGCCGCCGCCACCGCCAACGCCAAAAAATCCGTCGTCGTTGAACCCTCGGATCCCGCCACCGCCAAAAAATCTGTCGTCGTTGAACCCTCAGATCTGGTCGCCGCCACCGCCAAAAAAATCCGCGTCGTTTAACACTTCCTCTCCCTGATACTTGACCAGAAACTGGTGCAGCTGATACACCGACATGTGGGACCCTTATCGGTGTACTTCATGAACGCCGCTTTCACGTCCAGGGGTGGCTCCACCTCGGTTATCTTAAATTTCCGGTTGAACCCAAACACCTTGAACCCCTCCATTTTCACCAATTCTTAAACTATTTCACCAATTATATATATATATATATATATATATATATATATATATATATATATATCTGTGTATATATAATTGTACACAGGGGTTCAACTAACTGTGTATACAGGGGTTCAACTAACTGGGATTCGGGGAAATGGGTGGGTTGATTGTTGAAATCATTGCGAAAATAGTTTGATTTAGGGTTTGAATTTAGACGCATTAAATTGGGCGTCGGCCACCGTCGAAGTCTAGGACCTTAGATATATATATATATATATATATTGAAGATTTGGTGTTTGAAATTGATGGTATGTGTGTGTATATATGTATAAATATATGTGAGTGTATGTTGAAAATTTGGGTTTTGAATAGTGAAGTGGTGGTGATGGTGGGTGCGACATTCACTGCAACAGATATTGATTTAGATGATAGAGGTGGTGTGGTAATGGATTGTAATGAGGATAGAGGTGGTGTGGTAATGGATTGTAATGAGGAGAAAGGGAAATTTTTGGGTTTGGTTTTTATTTTTTTATACAAGGTTAGAAGGGTAATTTTATTATTTAAATTGATTAATTGATAATTCAAAAGTACAATGTAAATTCTTTAAGTGGCAGGTGATAGTTGGGAGGCCTTTGTTAACTTTATTAAATTTTAGGGTTGTCATTGTTAAAAAAAAAATTCAATTTATATATAATTGTCATTAAAACAAATCTCATGGAATCTCATTGTAATTAATCCTTCATTTTTTTTTTTTTCTTTTATTTTTTCATCTCTTTCAACTTTTAAAATTATAATTTGGTAAACATTAATAATTTTTCGTACTAAATACTTATAAAACATATATATATATATATATTTATTTATTTATCATGAAATTATGCATCGCATGGGGCTTGAGGATTGAAATGAGGGTTGTTGGATTAAGGTTGTAGACTTGATTTTGAATGGTAATATTGGAGGAATGGAATTTAAAGTCATTGATGAATGGGATCCCATGTCATGAAATCAAATGGAATTTGAAACCACCCTAATTTATAAAATATTATAATTTCAATTTACGCATTTATACTGCGTGATAAGGTGAAATTAGTCCACATTATTCTAAAAAATCTATATAATAATTATTATTATAAATAAAAAATTCACAATATTAATATTACTCCTCGTCTCATCGAGGCACAAGGGCTATATTTTTGAGACTCAACTTAATCCTATAATTTGAGTGACATTGCATATTTTGTAAGCTCAAAATGTGCTTCTGAGTTCATGTTTGTGAGAAAAAATAAAAAATAAAAATCAGAGGAAAACAATGTAAAAACGTCCTTATAAGAAAGAGTAGGTCCGTCAGCCGTTTGATTAAATAAGGATTTAGCCAAGCAATTTATTGGTCTTTAATCAGGACTCCCTACTGGTCCGTCAGCCGTTTGATGAAATGAACTTTGCTGCACCCAGCAGCTCCAAACTTATGAAGTGTAATTTTACTACTTGAAGAAATTAACTTTGATTTATTTATTTATTTTAGAGACCTAAAATATCACATTCTCTCACAAACGCATTGTCGTTTGGTTTGCCTCTTCTTCTCTCTCATTCCATCCATAGAGAGAATTTGTTTTTCCCCAAAAGACCCAAAAGATGCAAGCAATAGATGAGAAAAACAATCTCTACCATCGTTGTTTCCAATCTAATGTTTCGAACTCCGAGTCTTCAACTCCACAAGCCCCAAATCAATCAGGTTTGCTCTCTCCTCTCTGTCTTCTCTCTCTTTACTTCAAAACATCATTTGTTCACCGCATTATCTGAAGTGCCAAAACCACCGACACCATCATCATCTACACACAGAACAAACGATACCTGCATAGATTTGTCTTCAATTAACACTTCTGGTATTGCTAAATCAGTCCTGTTGAGATGTTCACATCTTGGGGACAAGAAAGTAGACACCTTTGCTAACCCTTCTCTCAGAGAACTGCTTTTCGAGTTGTCTGATTTAAGCCCTGAAATTACCCGTCGATTTCGGAGAGTTTCTGAGTTAAAACCCGAGGATGTTCTCGAAATATTACTGGGTTTTCAATTTTATAGTGGGGAGATTGAAAATGAAGCTAAAAAGATCGAGTCTTTATGGGGAATTTTCAAATGGGCTAGTGGCCAAAGTAGGGATTTTAAGCATCTTCCTCGGTCTTGTCAGGTCATGGCCACAATGCTGGTCCGAGGTGGGTTATTTGAGGAAGTTGAATTTTTGCTTTCAACAATGGACAGTAAAGGAATTCCAATGGATAATAATGAAATTTTCAGTAATTTAGTTGAAGGGTATGTTGGTGCTGGTGATTTGAAAAGGGCTATGTCAATACATGATCGAATGAGGAGGCAAGGTTTAGTCCCATCAGGGTCTTGTTATCGTGTTATTCTTGCTTTTTTGGTTCAGATGAAAGAAACCCAATTAGTGTTTCGAGTTTATATGGATATGGTGGAAATGGGATTAGGAATGAGTGGAGCAGAAATGGATAGTTTTGAGAATGTTATTGATTTACTATGCAGGGATGGAAAAGTTCGGGAAGCCAGAAATCTTGTTAAGAAGTTGACTGCTTTTGGAATGGAACCTAGTAATTTAGTGCTTGATGCAATTGCAAGTAAATATTGTGAGAAGAAGGATTATGATGATCTACTGAATTTATTTTTTGAGATCAAGTGTGCACCTGGTGTTGTAGTTGGCAACAAGATTATATTTTCTTTGTGTAGAAATTTTTCCATAGAAAGAGCAAATTTGTTCATTGAGGAACTGGAATGTTTAGGTTTCATCCCTGATGAAATAACTTTTGGTATCTTAATTGGTTGGAGTTGTCGTGAAGGGAAACTGAAGAATGCTTTCTTTTATTTGTCAGAGGTTTTATCGAGAGGCCTCAAACCTGATGTACATTCCTATAATGCTCTTATTAGTGGAATGTTCAAGGAGAGCATGTGGAAACACGCCCAAGACATTCTTTGTGAAATGGATGATCAGGGAGTAACACCTAATATGGCAACTTTCAGAGTTCTCTTAGCAGGATATTGTAAAGCTAGACAGTTTGACGAAGTGAAAATGGTGGTTTGCAAGATGGTGGATCATGGTTTGATCCAAATATCTTCACTAGAGGATCCCATCTCCAAAGCATTTACTATCCTGGGGCTCAATCCCTTGGCTGTAAAGGTGAGAAGGGACAATGATGTGGGATTCTCGAAAACAGAATTTTTTGATGCCCTTGGGAATGGACTTTATTTAGAGACAGACCTAGAAGAATATGATAAGACTATGAGTGATGTTCTCGAAGATTCCGTGGTTCCTGATTTTAACTCCCTTGTAATGAAGCATTGCAGTGATGGAAAACTTAAAACTGCATTGCTGATGGTAGATGAAATGGTTCGCTGGGGGCAAGAACTGTCTTTGTCCGTCTTCTCAACATTAGTGAAAGGGCTTTGTGCTTCCTGTCGCTGTATCAAGGCAATCACCGTTCTCTTAGACAAAATGCCGAAGTTGACTAATCAGCTGGACCAAGAAGCTCTCAATTTGCTTGTCCAATCACTTAGCACAAGGGGATTAATAAACAAGGCAAGGATAATATTTTATGGAATTGTCCAACGGCATTTGGAAATCAGGGATGAGACGTATACTGCTATGATAACGGGTTTATGCAAGAAAGGAAGCTTGAGGGAGCACCTCGATTGCTGGGAACTTGCTCGACAAGATAAATGGTTACCTGCGTTAAAGAATTGGAAGGCTATTATGGATTGTCTATGCCAGCAAGAAATGCTCAAGGAAACAATGGAACTTTTTGAAATAGTGATGGCGGCCTACCCTAACTTAAGATTGGATATTTGTCATGCTTTCCTTGAAAGGCTTTGTGGTACGGGGTTTACGAGCACTGCACATGTTTTGGTGGAGGAACTTCTAACACAGGGCTTTGTCTTGGACCACATGGCTTATAGTCATCTTATAAGAGGTTTCTATACGGAGAAGAAGTTCTCGAAAGCTCTTATGGTATTCGATATTATGCTAGCTAAGAACTTGACTCCAAGCATGGATGTTGCTGTTCTGTTGATTCCTCACTTGTGTAGGGCTGGTAATTTTGAGAAAGCTGTCACTTTGAAAGAGATTGGCTTGAGAGAGCAATACTCTGATTCACTTTCTGTCCACTGCGCTCTGATAAATGGGTTTTCTAAGACAGGGAAGGTTGAAGAAGCAGTCAATCTATTCCAGGATATGTTGTTGAAGGGCTTACTCCCAGGTACTGAATTTTATAACATGTTGGTTCAAGGGTTTTGCCAAGCTAGAAATTCGAGGAGAGTTGGGGAGCTACTCGGCATCATGGTACGAAAGAACTTAAGCATTTCAATCTTGAGTTACCGTAATTTGGTGCGTTTTATGTGTATGGAGGGAAGGGTCCCTTTTGCATTAAGCATGAAAGAGCTTATGCTTAAAGAAAGCAACCCTCCCTATCTCACCATTTATAACATTCTGATTTTCCGTCTTTTCTCAACTGGGAACATTTTGATTGTGGATACCCTTCTACATGAACTTCAGGAGAAGGGATTGCAACTCGACACAGTCACTTATAATTTTCTTGTGTATGGTTATTCGCGTTGTAAAGCCGTGTCACGTTCGCTGCAGTATCTGAATGCTGCCATGCTTAAAGACCTTAGGCCGAGTAATTGCAGTTTGAGAAAAGTAATAAGCTGCCTGTGTTGTGAAGGGGAGCTTGGAAAAGCCTTGGACTTGAGTCGAGAAATGGAATCAAGAGGTTGGATTCATGATTCAATCATTCAAAATGCAATCGCCGAGGGCCTTCTTGCTCAAGGTAAGCTTCAAGCAGCAGTAAATTTTTTGGACCGGATGGTAGAAAAGGGTCTAATTCCTGACAATATCAATTACGATAATCTAATTAAGCGGCTCTGTAGGTATGGAAGACAAGATAAGGCTGTTGAGCTTCTAAACATAATGTTGAAGAAAAAAAACATCCCAAATTCTACCAGTTATGATGGCATAATCCAAGGTTTCTGTTCAAGTCATAAATTGGAACAAGCTCTAGATTTGCATACCGAGATGTTGGATAGAAGTCTTAAGCCAAGCGTCAACACTTGGAATGCGCTTATCCAAAGCTTCTGCTACGATGGACAAATTGCAGAAGCAGAAAGGGTAATGAATTTTATGGTTCAAATAGGTGAAACTCCAACCAGGGAGATGTATTGCTCTGTGATTAACAAGTGCCGCGCTGAAAACAACCTCAGCAAGGCATCAGAGTTCTTACAAAAGATGCAGCAAAATGGTTATGAACCTGATTTTGAGACTCACTGGTCTTTCATTAGCAACTTGAGCAATTCCGGGGACAAGGACAACAGCAACAGCACTCGTCCCTTTCTAGCAACGCTTCTTTCTGAAAGTGGATTTTCTCGGAAAAAAGTCCCCAAGAACAAACCACGGTAACAAAGCATAACTGAATCTGTGGTTGGTAGTTGTTATCACTTCATATTTATTTTTCCATGTTCGTGCCTTCTGAGGAGCTTCTTAGTTTGGTTCTCTTTGCGGATTAGTCCATTGGTAGTTTTACTTTCCCCCTATAATGAGTTCGCTGATCCCAGAAGATCTGTACATCACATTATATGTATATTGACGTATAATTGGGAGTGCTACACATTTCTTTCTGATTCTCAAATTTTGCCAATATCTTTTTCCTTTTTATGTTGCAAGGAATGTAATGTTCTTGGGGATACCTTTTCCTTCCTTTCTTCACCTCTCCTGCATCTGATTATACATATACATTTTTGTAAATATACAATGTTGTGCATTGTCATATTAAAGGCTTGGTTGGTCATCTTTGCCCGGATGTTTATAGAACGAGAAGATTGATGCTAGGTTGACTGAAATTCTATATTTCTCCAGATGGAACGAGGTCTGGTAGGTTTCTTTTTCTTGTTGCTACTGTACTTTTTGGAATATAAGTTTGTTATCGTTGAGTCCGAAGTAGTTCGTGGATGTAGCCCTTTTTATGAACCTATATTATTAAAATATGTGAAAGTATTTCATGGATGTAACATTTCTAATGAACGAACCTAGATTAGACTATGTGAAAGCAAAGCGCTCTTTTGATGCTTACTGGGAATTCAGCAGCAGGAGCTCTTGTCTGCCTAGCATACAAAGGAAATGCTTCCTTTTTTGTCGTCTTTTTTGTTCTTCATAATTTTGAGGAAAACAAGCAGGGGAAAAAAAATATTGGGAGTATCTAATATTTGAAGAGGGACATAAAAAGTATCAGATCATATGGTTTTTATAGTTTATAAATAGCAATAATGTTGGTCAAGTGGTAGACATTACTGCATAAGCGCAATATGTATTCCCTGTGAATGAGAACTCATTTGTCTTGAAAACTATCCAATTCTCTATTATGTATTCCCAGTGAATGAGAACTCATTTGTCTTGAAAACCACCCAATTCTCTATTTTGGAGAAAAACTGAGAGTTTCCATTATTCTGAATTGGCTGGGGTACCACATGTAAGTACTCTGGAAGTATTGGATATTCTCTCAAATGGACATAGATCTAGAGTTCTTAACTTGGGATCATGGAGAATGATGCTATATCTCTTCTAGAAGAGACGGATGGGAAGCAAGGTATGTCAGGTCAGTAGACTTGAGGCCAGTAGACTTCTGTTGAATTTGGCACAAAAGACATCCAAGAAAAAAGAAAGGGGGTCATATAGACCTCAATTTCTGTTCCACAATGTCACAAGGGTAAAGGAACAAAGTGGGTTGGTTAATGAGATATATAACAATCATGCAACAACTCAACTTTCATTTGTTCTTTGAAATCTGGTTGCCAAGATATGTACCAACTGCCCCATCTTACTACATCAGCCCTACATGGCGGATTCAGGAATATGACCAATAATTCCTCAAACATAGCAAATTTGAAAACCTTAATGTTTTCCAACTTTGGGCATACATTTGGTGGAGTTGGAACATGCAAGTCACTCATGCTTTGTACACAATTATCCAAATGACACAGCATGCAAGGGCAGGTAGTGTTTTAAAAACAAGTCTAAATACATGCTTTAGTAAGTATATGATGTACTTGTCAAATGATGACGCATGGATTGAGTTAGATAAGTGGGGGTTTTATCCGACCAATGACAACCAAACCTACCATGCCACTTGGCAACTTTACAACATGTATAAATTCAGATGCCACTCTCATCTTCCATGCACTTCCTTCTCAAGCACCTTCTAAAAACCCTAGCACTCCATACCTATTTTCTTAAAAAGATGAAGGCTGGAACCCTTGAGCTTGGTGAGGCCTCCAAGGGTTCCACTCCACAAAGTGGGGTGAACAGAGGGGTCTCCATACTTGACTTCATTTTGAGACTCATTGCAATCATTGGAACCTTAGGAAGTGCAGTTGCCATGGGAACAACTGATCAAACACTTCCTTTTGTCACACAGTTCATCCGATTCAGGGCTGATTTTGACGATTTTCCAGCATTCATGTAAGTGTTCATACTACTAATGCTGTGAATACCGTTTAAGGAACACTATTTGTTTGTTTGTTTCCGAGAATATGTAAATATAAATAACAGTGTGAGCTTTACAACAGGTTCTTTGTGATTGTAAATTCCATCGTATGTGCTTATTTGGCTCTCTCTCTGGCGCTGTCCATATTCCACATTGTGAGGAGCAGCGCACGACCCAGTAGGATATTCTTGATCTGCTTTGACTCGGTAATTCCTTGGAGACATAGCTAAACTTCAGTTTAATGAAAATTTAATAAAAATGCCTATTGAAGTTATTGAAGAGGAAGGTTTTACACTCTACAAAAAAAAAAAAAAAAAAAAAAAAAAAAAAAAACACACACACACAGTAGAAATCTATTTAGTTCGAAGTTTATTAATTTTTTCAAAGTTGCCTTCTGCATGTCTAGTATGTCCTAACAAAATTTGATGCTGTGAAGGCAATGTTGGCTCTTTTAACCGCTGGAGCTTCAGCAGCTGCAGCAATTGTGTACCTAGCACACAAGGGCAATGCAAAAGCAAACTGGTTTGCCCTCTGCCAACAATTCCAATCCTTCTGTGAGCGCACTTCTGGATCTTTGATCGGATCTTTTGGAGGAATTCTTGTGTTTATACTGTTAATCTTGTTGTCCGCTGTAGCCCTTTCTCGACCTTGACGTGAGATGATCAGTCACCCACTCTTCCAATTACTCATGCTCATCAGTGTATCTGTGTATTTCTTTTTCACGTGTGTCTATTTCAGTTTGTAAGAGTGAATGTCAGTGGCTCTTGTCAACTATTTTTCTATATCTACGTTTGATTTGGATTTTGGAATGATATATTGGGAAATCTTCTGGAAAAAAAGTATTTGTCTCTCAATATTCATCTTGTTCATAGCAATGTTTCTCTATATTTTGCTTATAATTTCAGTCCTGATTGCTCAAAAATATTTCAGTAGCTGGCCACATGGTGCAGAAATATGTTTTTCCTGTTTCCTTTATCCAAATATGTTTGTTTCTGTGTAATGTAAATGAAAGTTGATATGCGTCATCCATTCAGCACCCTTTTCTGAACCACTATGTCATCCCAATGGTGTCTTTTTCTTTCCTTTTTTTTTTTTAAAAAAAAAATAAAAAAAAATTAAAATAAAGGATAAAGTGCAAGGAACATCCTGTTATATAAAAAATTTCACATTTGAAAAATATGAACAAATTGCCCTTGATTGACCATCAATTTTGACCAAAATATTTCATAAAAGCCCCAAAATACCCTTACTCTATCTTCTCTCTCTCATATTTCTCTCTCCATCTCCGGACACCACTGAACACGTGTGGTCGTCCAACATCCTCAAACCCTCCACCACCAGCTCCTCCAACCCCATCAAACATTCAAACCCATTACCGATCAAACTCCATCTTCCCCAACAATCCCACCCAGTTAAAAGATTTTATAGTAACAGTGACCGAGAAAACCAAACAATTAAAGATTAACCAAACATGGAGTCCAATTGGATTGGTTACGCAAACAAACGGAAGACACACGATCGAATATTGTATGGGTAGTGCTGGCACAGTAACATAATAAATGTTATTCAGGTGGAAACAAAGCCCATTCCCCAGAGAGAAACATGTGGAAACTGAAGAAGGTAATGGGAAGTGCGCAGACCCAACAGAAACCCAGACACAAATCTATTTTTATTATTATTTTTTTTCTGGTGTGAGTGATGACAAATCGAAAGAATTGGATCTAAAAAATATTTGCAGGAATCATTTTGGATAGAGGAGTTTCATTTCAAAACTCACCCTAATTGATGGACTCCTATCAAGGAGGTTGGAACATTGCTGGACTATTTTTACAATTAATTGATGATCATGGGGGTATTTGCACAATTTTTATATAACAGGTTTTTTTTTTTTTTTTTTTGCACTTTACCCTTAAATAATTTTTCCTTGATCAAGGAAATACATAAAGCACATACTCACAATCTCCGACCAATAAGTTTTATAATTAATTTCTATAAACATATGTTCATCTGAGAAGAAGTCTTGGGAGCAGCCATGTCAAAGTTTCATTCTTTGTCAATTTATCACAATATCAGAATACATTCATTTGAGGAAAAGGTTATAAGAAAATACAAATGAATAAGTTCCGAGGAATAGAAATATTTGCCAAAGAAGTTTATATAAAAGAAATGCCATCTAATATTGCATGTAACATGCTTGTATTGGTACAATGGAAGGACTGCAAGAGAGGAATTCTAACCACTTTGCAGCTCAAGGAGTTCCCTTTCTGGAATTAGATTTAGGCTTGGCATCAAACAAGAAATGCACAAGAGCTTTGTCATCTGCTTCAATTAGGCTAAACCCAGGCTCTTTCCTCACCCCACTATCATCCATTAACTGCCTCACCTTTTCGACACCATCCCACTCACCTCTTGAGGCATATATGTTAGAGAGTAATACATAGTCACCGCTCTGGTTCCGTCTCATTTTGAGTAGCTGCTCATTTGCACGCCTCCCCAACTCAACGTTTCCATGAATCTTACAAGCCCCAAGCAGGGTCCTCCAAATAATGGCATTGGGTTCAATCTCCATGGAGTCTACAAACTCAAACGCTTCATTCAATAGCCCAGTACGCCCTAGCATATCCACCATACACCCATAATGCTTTATGTTTGGCTCAATATTATACTCATCCTTCATTAGCTTAAAATATTGACGGCCCTGTTTTACTTTTCCTGCATGACTGCAAGCAATTAAGACACCAACGAAGGTAATTTCATTCGGCCTGATTTTCATTCTCTGCATCTCCTTGAAAAGACAAATTGATTCCTCAGAATGACCATGGAAAGCTAACCCACCTATTATAGAACTCCATGTTGCGACATCTTTTTCTCTCATTCCCCAAAACACTTCAAGTGCTTTCTCAATGCTCCCACACTTGGCATACATGTCTATAAGTGCGTTGCCAAGTATAATGCTCAAATCTCCTAAACGCATCTCCAAAAGAGAGCAATGTATCTTCTCTCCAACATCTAAACCTCCCGAATCAGCACAAGCAGACAAAAGACTCAACATGGTCACCTCATCCGGTTGTTCTCCCACACTTCTCATCTCCTCAAACATCTCCAACGCCTGCTCGTGCAACCCACAAAGCACATACCCTGCGATCATTGCGTTCCAAGTCACCACATCACGCTTCGGCACCTCATCAAAAAGCTCCCTCGCACTCTGCATCTCTCCCCGCTTAGCGTAACAGGTAATCATCACATTCCAAGCAATTAAATCTTTCACAGGCATTTCATCAAACAGTTGTCGCGCGACACTCAACTCACCTCTTCTGGCATACCCAGCAGTCAAAGCCGACCAAGGAACAACATCCCTCTTCGCCAAAACATCAAAAAGCTCACTCGCCACCTTTATATCCCCACAATTGGCATGAAAATATATAAGAGTATTCCTTGTAAACGTATTCGATTCAAAACCGAATTTCACAACCTTCCCATGAATCACACATCCCATATTAGCCCAAGAAAGCCTAGTACAAGCCTTGAGTAAGAACGGGAAGGTATAGTTATCGGGTCGAACAAACCGTCTTTCCATCTGTTTATAGAGAGAAACAGCCATTAATGGGTTGGGGCTCTGAGCTGAACCTCTGATCATGGTGTTCCACATGAAGAGGTCTGGTTCGGTAATTTGAGCGAACAGTTGGTGGGCATAGTCTAAACTGGACCACGAAATGGCTATGGCTGAAGCATAAATTAGTTCTCTGAGAGCAGATGGATTGGAGTTGAAGCCATTGATGATCATGAAAGCATGGATTTGTTTGAGGGTTCGGAGGTTTGTGCAGTTTCGCCATAGGGAGGACCGTTGGTGGAGTTTCGAGCTTCTGTCCGTTGCTTTCTTTCCGATCATTACATTACTTCTTCTCCCTATGCGGAGCTCATATTCTATTAAAGCACGTGCGAGCTCGTACAAGTAATTACTACCTCAGTCTTGTATTAATTGTCAACCTCAAAAATTTAGACTCACAATTTTTGTCAATCAAAATTATCAAAATAAACTTTTAGTATAACATATAGATAGTATATAAATATATTAAAAGAATATGATTAAAAATAATATCAAATGATTCAAAAATAAAAAATGATAGTGAATCAAAGTTTTTTAAATTGACAATTAGGAAGTATTAAGTTTTTCCTTTTCCTTTTATTCTTATTATTTTTTTTTTCCTTCTAAAATCTTCTACTAACATAGTTAATTAGTTATGAGTACATTCATGAGCCAACAAAAACAAGAATATAATTTTGTTAATTTGTTTATGTGACCAAGTGTAAGGTTAAACAATGTAAATATATATCTTTGATTGTTTCTAGTCTATGGTAATGAAATTATTACTAAACAACAATTAAATGAATCAAATATATATATATATATATATATATATATATATATGTATGTATGTATGTATAAATATCATGGTTTGACTATTATATATGTAACAATTTCACTATTTTTAAAATTGAAACCAAACTATTGAGCCACAAAAAGTAATTTTGACTTGGTTTGGATCAATATTTGAAAGGATTCATGTGTTTATAACGTGTTAAATTTTAAATGATTATATAACAAAATTTGATTTCGACACATGAATCTGTTAAAATAGACAAAATTTTAAATGATTATATAACAATTTTGTCTATTTCTTTTAGTATATATACAAACTATATACAATATCATGGGTCCAGCTGTGGTTTGTTGGAACTCTCCTAATCTAAAAATGAGTTGTGATACCATGTTCAATTCGGACAATCAAATAAAATGAGATTACTTTATGTGAATAAAGAATGATATTATCAAATAGAATGAGACTAGTAATTAAAAAATAACTTTATAAAATAAGATGTATCATACTCTCAAACTATCTAATATTTTTTTTTACAAAAATATTAGATATTTCTTGCCATGTTCACACACATCACCTAATTAAATGCTCTTCTTCACAACATTTCTAAATTCTACTGTAATATATATATCCCTATTTGGAGCCAAACTAGTAAACTCTCCTGTCGGTTCTAGATTTCTAGTTGTTGATTTATCAATTCTCTCTTTAAAATTCCTAGAGTAAAAGGGGCGTTTGGATCAATCAAATTGTAGCACCCAAACTTACTATGTAATATTAATTTTCATCTTTAAATAAAAATATACAAGGTTGATATTACAAGTGTTAAGTTAATTAGTCATAGAGTCTACGCTCTGTTTGTTTGGATGTAAATTATATTTTGGTATTTATTTGCTATAAAATATTTATAAAGAAAAAAAATATTAAAACTCAATAAAAATAATCTACAAATTCTATATTCAACCTCAACCACGACCTACACCTTTATTAGAGACCAAAACATAAAAAATAAAAAAAATATATTTTACTTAAAAAAAAATATTTTTCAAATATTTTAGGTCGAAACTTAAATTCATAAATTCATTAGCAATTACTACGTGGCAAGTCAATTAAAGATATTAGGAATGGTCTCCATTAAAATCCTTGGTTGTTATAGAACAAACCAACCAGGATCTACCACCTCCTAGGACCCCCCTCCTCTCATATCACACACTAGTTAGTTGCAACTTCCACCTTATCTTATGCATGTCATGACGTTTTAAATAATAAAAAGAATATTATTAAATTAGCTTAATTACCAGTTATTTTATTTTTTTCTTTTTCATTTTTCAGTTAATTCAAAATGACCACAATATCCTTATATTCAGAAGGTAAAGGTGGAGGGGTATTTTGTAATTTCAGTCTATTCAAAGAAATGCCAATTACAAGGTGCAAAGCCTAGTGTGCATTAGCTGGCACGTGAATACAATATACGGTTATATAAACTGATATTTCAATTATTTATTTTTTGCTAATTACAGTGGTATTGATGATTTATAATGTTTTACTAAAATTAATTACTTGCGTCTAAATGCACGTTTTGAGAAGAAAGCTAGGGCATATTTGGCATTACTTCAGCACCCATTGACAGATGGTTCCAGTTGTAGTTTTGAGTTATAAACTTTGGGCATCCAGTGAAATACGAGTCATATTACCTAACTAATTTTAGAATTTCACTACAATTTCTGTTTTTCCCTGGTATAAAAGCGAAAATGGTAGCAATTTTGGATTCTTCTTGTAAAAGTGAAAGCATCATCGATTCTCACGCGTGCTTCAATCAATTAATTAAGAATATTGACGCATTAATACTCTCAATTTAATGATTTAAGACAAAAATATCATCGCAAAATGATAACGTTATTATAAAATCATTTGAAAGTCATGCTTGAGAACACTGGGTTGTTGACATATTAAAATTATAAAAAATAAAAATAATAAAAAATTTAATTCAAAATTCAAACTATATTTTCTGCGATTGTAATTCCAAAGCCTCAATTTAATACTCTTAAACGCAATATCAGTGATTTTTTTTGTTACGCAATCACTTTGTCATTTGTATTGTCTTCTCCATTTGTTTTGATGATTTAAAATGCTGCTCTAGCATGAACTGTAGTAGTCAATATCTCCTTCATTTTGTTAAGAGGTATGAGCATGCTCATGAATTAAAACTTCTGCCAAACACCACACATAAATCATCTCTGTGAAACCAGTCAGATGCATTTGCTCTGCAGTTCACATGGAACTAATTAATTGAGCAGACACTTTCTCCATTTAGGATTGTAATTAAGTGTACCAATCTAACAAACTCATCCTTCCCATACTTCTTGAACTTTAAATAAAGTTATTATTGTAAATTACTATATGAAATTTTTATATATTAATCACCAATGGTATTCTCTCATTTTTAAAAATAGAATAGAAGATTAGAAGTAAGGATGTCAACGAGACAGTTCGGGATGGAACACTCCTTTCCCAAACCCGTCTCACTAATAAAAATATTTTTTCAAATTCGATATGAGACGGGACGGATTCGTGACGCCCAGATATATATATTTTTTAAGAATAAATAATTCAAACTTGAATAATTTAAAGATAATTTTAGTTTTCTTTTTTGGGTAGTATATTATAGCTAATAAGAAATTATAATAAGAAAGAAAAATATATTATAGCTAATAAAAGAATATTTATTTATATATTAATTATTAATTGGATGGATTCGAATTGAATACGTCCCTAAATCTATTAGGATAATCCCAAATTCAATTCACTAACATAATAGGGCGGGTCAAATTGACATTCCAAGTCCGAAGTTTAATTTCTTGAGAACAATAGAAGTGTGAATAGGAAAAAAAGAAAGAAAAACTCCATATATATATATATATATATATAAGTAGAGAGGATCGGTCCTGCCCACAGAGAGGACAAAATTGGTTTTGACAAAAAAGAAAAGAGAGAATGTGTTTTTTTGTAATATTGTTCAAATTCAGACAGTTATGACTTACGACACTAAGTTTGTTGTGAGATATATCATTTTTGGCATCAAAAGAATGTGATAAATTTTTTAAAAATTTAAACTATATAATATTCCACAGTAGTTTAACTTTTGTTAAACAAATGACAACTAACACAGTTGTTTTCACTGTTTTGAATATAATAATTTATGACTACAGCCCGTCGACTATAAGTAAATTAAAAAAAGAGTTAGTTATCACATATTGAAGCAGAGAATAGGGACGAGTTATTGCTGGTCATATTGAAGAAGAAAAGGAAATGATAATAATTAAAAAAAAAAAAAAAAAAAAGGGGTAGAAAGAGATGGCTGAAAACCATAACCTACCCACCAATTTGCCTTAAAAACTACGTTTCTTTCTCTCCCCAAAACCCCTATTTATGGACTTCTGTTCCTCAGACTACCTTCTTTTCATAACATCTTTCAATTCCTCTCTCTAAGAAGATCTTCTCCCTTCCCTTCTCTCTCATGTTTGCATATTCCTTCAAAGTTAATGTTGTAAATATCTAGTTTTCTTTATATCATCTAACAAAATCTTTGTTTTGTAGGCTCACAAAAAAAAAAAAAAAAAAAAATCCCTTCTAGGTTGCTTTTGTCTGTTTTCTGTTCAGTATGGATTTCTAGAGATATTTTGGTACCAACCCTTTTCAAATTCAGAGGTTTAAAGTTGTGGGTTTGTGTTTGTTAGCACAATTTAGAGCTTGTGTTGTGAATTGTGAGAGCACCATTATAAGTTAGTAGAAGCTTTGAGATTTGTTCTTTGAAACATAGGGTTTTGGTAAGGATTACAGGAATGGAAAAAAATTCAAGTATTGGTAGGGAAGATGAACCAATAGAATTGCCTCCGGGTTTTCGATTTCACCCAACTGATGAAGAGCTTATAACTCACTATCTGTCTCCAAAGGTCCGTGACGGCTGCTTCTGTGCTAAAGCAATCGGAGAAGTTGATTTGAATAAGGTTGAGCCTTGGGATTTGCCGTGTAAGTCTCTTGTTGTCTATATAATTTTTCATTTTCTTTAAGTATACTATGAACCTTAAGTGTATTCTGAATTCATATTTTGAAGGGAAAGCGAAAATGGGCGAAAAAGAGTGGTATTTCTTCTGTGTTAGGGATAGGAAATACCCAACTGGTTTGAGGACAAACAGAGCCACAGATGCTGGGTATTGGAAGGCAACAGGCAAAGATAAGGAGATTTACAAGTCGCAACAACTGGTTGGGATGAAGAAAACTTTGGTTTTCTACAGAGGAAGGGCTCCTAAAGGAGAGAAAACCAACTGGGTCATGCATGAATATAGATTAGAGGGCAAGTATTCCATGTATAGCCTCCACAAAACAGCAAAGGTGAATGAATCATCTCATCCTCTGTTTTCTCCTAAAAACTCTGTTTCCTTTTTAGGTTATTTATGTTTTCCTTTCATTTTCCTCTGTTTTCTCTAGAAAATTCTGTTCCTGGGTGAGGATTTTAACGTTTTCCTTTCATTTATTGCAGAATGAATGGGTGATTTGTAGAATATTTCAGAAGAGCTCATGTGGGAAGAAGATACATATTTCAGGGTTGGTGAGGATGAGCAGTTATGGCGATGAATCGCCGCCTTCGAATTTGCCTCCATTAATGGATTGTTCTGCTTATGATGGCCAGACAAGAAACATAGCTGCTGATACGTCTCACGTGACCTGCTTCTCCGATTCCATGGAGGACCAAAAACCCCAGGAAGACACGAGCTTCAACACTCCACTTTTAGCATCTTCTACGAAACCATCTGATATATCTTCCTCTGCTTCGTTGCTTTCTCCAAAACTCTCTCTCCCAAACTCATTCTTCATCAATCAGATTGTGCCAAACTTTGCGAATTCGCAATACGCCGACTCTTTTCTGATGCAAGACCAGTCCATAATGAGGCTTCTGCTTCAGAACAATGCACCAAAGCAGCAAAATTCAAGACCAGAATTTGTGTCAAACCAAGAGTTGGAACAGAAGTCATATGAGGATCCATTTACTTCATCAGCTGGACCAGTGGACCTTGATTGTCTCTGGGATTACTAGATTTGAAGATAAAGATTAGGAATTCAAGAAGAAGAAAGGGAAGAGCATGATGTTCAGGAACACTATTGTTATAAGATTGGATCTGTATGTGTATAATTTTCTGTATCAAAATAATGTGAAGGAAATGGCCTGTACTATAGAAACTAAATTTATTTGACCAGTGTTTTCAATTTTACCTTTTATTTTTCCTTCTGCTAATGTTCATACTCTGAGAGCACAATTAGTCAAGATATGATGCATTTTTTACAATCATCACACATACTTCAGATTTGTTAGTGAGTGAATTTAGCGTCTCTCTCTCTCTCTCTCTCTCTCTCTCAAACACACGCACACACCAATCAACTATTGAATTAAATGTTAGGCCAACAACCTAGTGTTCAGGGATGATTGAGAATATATGATTGAATATGCAAATAGATGGCATGTTGAAAATGATCCCCATCCAATGCAGTGAAAATGAGTTAGGTTCATTGTACAGAGTATATCACATCCCGACCGACTGATGGGGTCTATGTCTTTGTTCGAAAAAATAGTGGGTATTTTTGGGTATCCAGAATATATATAGTATTCCAAAAAAAATCATTTTCTATTATTAAGGAAAATAAAGTGTTTTAAATGAGTACTAAGCTGGAATATTTAATTTTTTTCTTTTGTTTGGCTGTTTTGAATTGGAGAATGTATCATTGCTCTTTTATTTTTCACTCTTTGTCATTTGTCACCGTGGTCATGAAGCTGATAAAAATGAAGCCGGACAGTGTTACATTCAATATATTTATAGAATCATTACATCTTATGCAAGAACAACACAGTATTTGTCTGTCAACTCCAGTTAGTTTCCACTTCGCTTTCTATAATTTGGATCTTTAATTTTACATTCCAATAATCTTTCCTGAATTGAAAAAAGGACAAAGAACTCTCATAATCTTTTATTTATTTCCAAATTAAATTTCCTTCGAAAAGTAATTTCTATTATCTAGTACTACGGTAAAAGTATTTGAATCTTCAAACACATAACATCAAAAGATGTTTAGTCTGTCTAGAACACATTGCACATAACTTATGTGTGTTTGGATTCATATGCTTTTAGCCCTTTATCAATAATCTAGGGTAATTTAAGGTTGATGCTTTGGCCATTGGTCTGTTTGATAAGCTTGTAAACTCGATTTCATACGTTTATCGAGTCACACAGTCTCTCACACATGAATTAATTTATTTAATTTGTTGCTTAGCAAGTCCCTCTTTGGACAATACATCTCACGAGTACTCCAAGTATGATTTCAATATATATATAATTGGGAAAAAGAGTCTAACTCAACATCATTTCCAGAAAACATGAGTAACGACCTTTATTCATTGATAATATGATCAATCTTTTTATATGCATACATGGGCTACTATATATGTTTAATTAATTGTTAACACAAATAATAATAATAATAAATGAAACAGTCATCCATCATTTTCACTTCAAATTTTGGTAATCCAGTAGTGTAGTGTAGGTTAATTTATTTGTCTTCATGCAAGGGTGGCATCCTACGGCTGAGCTGTTCATATTATCAACTAGTTACGTACTCACTTTTCCATACTCAGAAATAAACCTATTTTGCAAAATTTAATAACTATAAGTTTAGTCTTTATAAATAGATTTACTCAACCAGATGATTTGGATCCTTTCAGACTTTGATCCGATGATAATGTGGCTAAAGTCAAATCGTACGATCGAAATTTGCAGAGTTTAAAAGAAAGATTTAGCAGGAGAGGATCCTTATAGTTGTCCATGATATTGTTCGAGTATAAATATTGAAATTAATGACAACTTTAAACTTTTTTTTTTTTTCAAGAATTAATATGTACTTCATTCAAACTGTTTTCTCCATTTCTTCTTTTTTAGAAAATAAAAACAAAAAAAAAAAAAAAAAACAAAAACACCTTGTGTATCTGTAACTGGTTGGATTAAAATTTATGTTTAGAGTGGGGGTATGTTTCTAATGCAAAATAAAAACTGCATGCTACATGCACAAAGCTTGCATATATGTATGTGTGTAAATGTATAAATGGTGTATGTATGTATGTATGTATGTATGTATATGTGTGTGTGTGTGTGTGTGTTTGTGTGTCGTGTGTGTATAACATTTAAGATATGTTAGAGACTATATATGGGGAAACATTAGCTAGAACAAACTTTAATTCCAACCAATAAAAAACATTCTTCTGTATTGAATTCTAAAATATATATCAATCCAATAATGTGAAGCCTATCCAAAGGAATAACTAAAATATTCTTGGGCTCCATTCCATTAAGTACTCTCATTATTTTTTCCCACATGATAAATACGTAGTGCTACGCCAATTGCATGCCTCACCCTTGCACGAAATCAACCATACTCTATTTTGAAGATTGAAAGTTTTTATTCTTTCCCTTTTCTATGTTTTTGGCTTTATTATTCTGTGTCTTCAAGTGCAAAACAGACAAATATTAATCCAATGCAACATGTAAAAGCATCTCACAAAACAAACGTCTTAGCTTTTTGTCATGTTGTTCATGATTTTTTTTTACATGATTCATAATTATTCGGTCTCAGCGAATCATAACTCAACATACAAATAAAAATATAAATAAAGTTATTATATTTACTTGGTGCATCACTGGACCGTGCTTGTAATCTCACATCATATATTTAATAATTTTTTGTTATTTCAAATACTACAAGATATCGTCGATGTATTCAATACTACTCATGAAGGGACTTACATTAGGATGAACCTGAATTTTATTTATTTATTAAAATACCTTACTAAATTAGTCTTTTTTTAACTATGTGCTCTTAAAATATTACTATTGCTCTTTGAAATTATTAAGAAATATCATTACTGCCCCCCTTCCCATTCCAACTTAATAGTCTAGCTCCGTACCCGATACTACTAGTAGTTTTTAATAAAAAGAAAGAAAGAAAAAAATAATTTTTTATCGTAAATATACAATCTTGAAATAATTACAATTAAATTAGATCATTTTATACACATACCTGGCTGAAAAATGAGTTAGCCAGCAGAGCGGTCCGGATTTGGGATCTCGTTGGCACCAATTGTTTCAAATAATATGAAGAAAATCCATGTTAAGTAAAATGTATTGATAAGCTTAACTATGTTACATAGAAAAGTACATAGTTAATTTATACGTGCACCTACGAAAAAAAAAAATAAAAATAAAAAATAAAAATAAAAATAAAAAATAAAAAATTATATACATAAAATAATATCAGATTTTTAATATGTCTTTCTTTCTTAGAGATCGAGTGCCATCTATATTATAAAGCTATATCATGTCATCTTAAAATTATTGAGACGGTGTTATGATTAATATTTTTTTTTTTATAAGCTCAATGCATGGAGTATATAATTAATTTTTACGTGCACCATCTATATCATAAGACAGATATCACTCCATCCTATGCTTTTTTGACTGTTATAATTAATGGTTTTAAAAAAATATTAATATGTATATATATATATATATATATATATAATTCTGCAATTATATAGAGAATATGAGGGTGAAAATGTCAATAAGCGGGATAATAAACCTACGTAGTCGAACTGAGACTGAAGAAAAGGGGTGGTTGTGGCCTCAAAGACTCAAAGTTGGGCCATTGCTTTCGGGACAGGATTAGGCGAAAAGGACGGTAGGCCCACCTTCTCAACGGCCGAAACGTAATATGTAGGGGCCCACTTCATACCTCTCACTACCGACACGTGGTTCTGGTTTCTGCTGGCGTCAAACAAGTGGGCCATTCACATCTTTGACGTCAGACCAGTCTACTCTGTCTACCACGTCACCTTTTTTTTGTTTTTGTTTTTTTTGGCGTATATGCTACTAAGTGTGAAAAGACGGCTACAAAGAAAATTTTGGGTTTGATGCGAATGAATGATTAAATTCCAGATTGGGCTGAAACCAAGGGCCCTGGTGGGTCAGGTAGAAAAGAGTAATTTGCAGGTGATCAATTTAATACTTTATTATTATCCCCAAAAAAAATAAATCAATTTAATACTTTAGGATTTTACAGAAAGAAAAAAAAAATCATAATATATATATGCATAATAGTTTTTTCCCCTAATTTAAGTGTAATTTTTTTAATAAAAATAAAAAGTACAAAAAATTAAGAGGAGCCGAGGAAGCATGGCTTTTAGTTGCTAACAATACTTGTCAAACCCACGAGGAAAAGAAGAAGAAGAAGAAGAGCACATGTTACATCATTCAACCCCCGAACAGGATATGTGAGCCAGAAAATGGTTCTCACAGACCCCACAACATCGGAATAATTTATTCTCTCCTATCCACTCAATCATCAGCTATTGTTAAAAGTTAATTTTTTTCTTCTTCAACAAAACGAAACCATCATTATATTATATCAACACAAACATGTATAAAAATAACAATCATACACATAATTTACTCAATTCTAGAATTACGTATATAAGAAATAAATATTTTACTATTATATATGAATCAAAAAAAATAATATATAACCACATATTAAAATCAACTCACTCACTCAATTCGTCCCGTAATTAACATATGATCAAAATATGCCTTCACGTAAATACTACACCATAACTCCATCTCGATCTCTTCATAACTCTACCATTCTAGATTTACTAAAAATTTCTCCACTTCAAATAACACATTATGATAAACTTAAGAAATACGTTAACATACTAACACACATGACATCACGTAGACATTTTGTGGTGTGGCTCACACCATCATTTACACAAACGCTTAATTATACAACACTTAATTTAGCATTTTTTCAATGACGGATCTTGAACCCTCACCGTTAGATATACAAAAGTTTTTGGTAGGGATGTATCAATTTTTCCAAAAGATATATTTTCATCTAAAACAAGTGGAATCATAACCAACTCATCTTCCAACGTTCAATTGTTATGTTCAAGTAATTGCAAGTTCCAACCACAAAGATAATGATTTATACAATTAAGTGGAGCTATCTCTTACAATTTTTAAGAATAACTAATTAAACATTACAATGTGATCGTCGCATGCACTCCATATCTCAAAGAGAAACATTCTCTATGGGTTCGTTTGGTTAGACAGAAATAGATGGTGAAAAGTGAAAGTGAAAGAAAGTGAAGTGAAGGAAAAGAAAATTAAGTTTC